GAGAAGAAGATTTTTGAAATTTTAGTCAATTTGACCCTTTTTGGCCCCGCCCCTCAGGCCCCTGGGGGCTTAGGACTAAACCGGCAACTACTTTTGTTGACCTTTGTCCATGGAAGGTCCCTGCAAAATTCCATTGAAATTGGTTCAAGGGTTTTGGAGAAGAAGTCGAAAATGTAAATTGTTTACGGACGGACGAGGGACGATGGAAGACGGACGACGACGGACAAAAGGCGATCGCAATAGGTCACTTGAGACTTTGTCTCAGGTGACCTAAAAATCTTATGTCATAGAAGTTCGTTTAAACACGGCGTTAAAAAATCTTCGGGTCACATAGTTATATACTATTGTCTGGACATAAATAACGTGGCTCTGTTATAAGACCAAGTCTTGTATGTGCACAAGACCAACTCATATCTTATCTCTCAACAATTTGGCAGAAAGGTTGTTAATTGTATGCCAACATCAACAGCTAAGTAAAACACAAACAACAATTAAATACAACAAAAACATGGAAGAGTAAGTGAGAATGATTTTATTTGTCACAATATTTTCCACTGTTGTCCAGTACTAAACTACAACCACATGCCACACAGATATCATAAGTACAGCTGAAACGTACTTTATTGACGTTTTATCTGATCTCCTCGTTTTTTGGGAGGCTGATCGACATATCTTCCGTTTGTCAAGTCATCAACACTTTAATAATGCTGGGTATATATTCTGTGTTACTGATCAACAAGGTCTTCCATTCACATGTTCTCCAGTTTGTCCTCTGTGTTTCAAATACAGCACTGTTAAGTCTTTCCTATCCAGTCATAAATTTCTTTTTTAAAAGTTCTATTTCTCAGCTTCAACACAATATTCAATGATAGAGTAAATGTTTCTGAATGTTTTTAACAATCAAAGCACTAAAAACAGTCTAAATAATATTAAAGAATTGTTTCAAGGTAAGTCCATTCACCTGTAATGACAAGAGAACATTTTCAGTTATACACATTCAGTTTAGCTAAAGAGACAAGAGTTATCTCTCTTGGAATTCTCCTTCACAAAGATTATTTCTATACAATACTGCAAAACTTTCCTTCAAAACACAATTTATGCTTATGAGTTATATATAGTATTATATTGATATTTATATACATTTCATGAATCATATTTTCCATTCTTCGGTTCACGCTAAAATAAACTGCCACAGAGAAATGCCAACAGAATACAATAAGTAATACAATGACCAGTTAACTCATTCACCCCTGAAGACACATTTGAACTCTTCCAATTCAAAGGTTTGAATAGCTCATAATGAAATTTCAGGGGTCAATGAGTTAATTACCTATTAATTACCTTATTACAATTATTGGTTAATCATCGTTAATTACCTGTTGATTAACTTGGTCCTCCTATGTAAGTCCTCAATCTTCTGTCCACTCAAATGGCTCTGGTGGTTCTGGCTCCTCCTCCTCATCAGGCTTGGGTCCACCCGCTAAAATTAAAAAGCAAATATATGATTTTATACGACACACATACACTTTGCATTAACATTCTGTAAAGCACTAATACATAGGACAGACTCAGATTCACCTAGAAATTTCATATCTAAGTCTTTGATATCAACTATCAAAAATATGTCCTCAGAAATTACATTCGGGAGATACATGTCTGACAACTATCAGAGATGTGCTCTCCCACAACAGCAAGAGAATACCAAACTGCCAAAACAATGATTAGAACTCAAAATTGATAAGACTAGGGCAAAATATGACACAGAAAAGTTTACATGCAGACCCTTGAAAAAGCACAAGAGGAATCAGATTGGGTGATCCGGAAGGGTAAGTGTCTTCTGCTTCATAGACAACACTCGCCATTTTAACTCATTCTTCCCTGAAGACACATTTGAACTATTCCAATTCAAAGGATTGAATAGTTCACTATGAAATTTCAGGGGTAAATGAGTTAATCTTAGTCTTATTCAAGTAACGTCGCGTCCACACATTAAGAACTCGGGTAGTGACAGCATAACCTAGACATCAACCCCCGTATCACACGAAGAAATAGCATATTTCCCTAAAAGAGCATGATGACAACAACAAAACTTGCCCACAGTCTTCATCAACCTAAATCTTTAGAAACACTGTGTTGGTAAGTTTGTCCGACAGCATTTCACACGTATCCTAGAGGTTATGATATTCAGAGCAAGCTCTTGAATATGAAATCAACTGCGACATGTACAAACTGAAGGAAGGGGAATCAAGGATGTAACTATCAAGAAAGGGAAAGTTCATGATTGGCATGTTGAAAGTTACATACAGGACAGATTGTTCTCAACTATCAGACTCATGCCCTCAAAACATTATAAATATTTAATTTTGGTCTAAACAATCAGCGAACTACCCGCAGAAAGTTACATACAGGACAGATTGTTCTCAATTATCAGACTCATGCCCTCAAAACATTATAAATATTTAATTTTGGTCTTAACAATCAGCGAACTACCCGCAGAAAGTTACATACAGGAAAGATTGGACTCAGCTAACAGAGATGTGGTTTCAGAATGGAAAGTTTACAATTACTATCAACTACTGGTATAAGAGATAAATCAACAGACAGATCCATTTGATAGAGTCAGGGGCCAGCTATCAGAGACACATATATCCTCAGTCTGATATGATCACCTGAAATGAACACAGTGATAGTACACTGTAAATCAGTTAATCTAATTATCGATTTTGAGAATAGCACTGATTTGATGATAATGAGGTGTAAATTTTACAATCTACTATCAATTAGAGCTCTAGTTAATATATCATTTACGAAATATTTAGATTGTCTAATTACTGAACGTATTTAAATAGGTGAGCTAACGGCCAAATATTGTTGTCAATTTTTTTTTCAAAATGCAAATCTACATGAACACCATCTTATACAACTACTTAAGCATAAAAAACAAATAAATCAATATTTAACAGAATGACAAAACGATTTTTTCTTCTTTTCATTGGTGAATATATATACTCAACCACAGGCAAAATATTGCCTGTTTTCTTACCCGGGTATATTTGCCTTACATAAAAGCTATAAATATTCTGTAGGGTTTATTGGGTATCTACGATATCGCCACGTGACCGTACACTCTTATAATCACGATCTTGGCCAGTGTTAATCACTAAGCCACTGCCCATGTAAAACACACACTTCGTAACTTCAACAAGAGCCTACGATTTCCAAAGCATCAAAACATAAAAGCATATAACGGTAATACAGTTTATTGTAAAGTGAATGAACGATATACATGTAACCTCTCGTTTCTACTCGTGTCTACTATAGCCCAAACAACACTCTTGTTTTATGAATGTTGGCATAAATGGAGCCTTTTACATGTGTTACGATTTATTAACAACAGCAACACTGCAACACTGTTTATTGCTGTGGGAAATTCAAGCTGAAGGGGAAGTGTGGAGGAAATCTCAAATGTAGCCTAATGACAGACATAAACTCACAGAGGATCCTCCGCCTCCGCTAGGTATACAAGGCTGTCAATGGCAGACAGGAGGAATGGAGGGGTCAATTCTATCAGGAAGGGGGTCAGCACTACCGATAAAGTAACAAGTTACCATGATTTCACAGCTGAAAAGCATGTGTGCTGAAGGATTGAAAAATCGACCACAATTTTTATAAATTGCCTTTACACAAACTCTCACCACAGTATTAGGCAGGGCCCCATTTCCAACACATGACTGTGCCAATATTTCTTTTAAAGTTTTTACGGAGACAGATGAGGTGGCTAATGAAGGTTGATTTTGCCAGGATACCCAATCACAGTCTGTCATTGCTGCTGGCTTTGGATGTCCATTTCTCTTCACACAACAGCCAGGCATAAAAGCACACACATCTTCCACTGCAGGCAGCAGGTTTTATTTACAGCATTGTAGGAAATCACACAAATGCAACCCGATCTGTACAAAAGAACTGAGACTAGGTCCTTTCTATGTCAGTCTTGTACAGGGAACACGTACTGGTCCAAACATTTCCTCTAGGTTTGCCTAGTATAGAACATTATGACTGCTCTCTGAAGGTCCATTCCCAGGAAACTTGTACAGACAGGATTATTACAGGGGCAAAACAATGCACCCATCCAATGCCACAAGCAGATTTTGTTCCCCTCTGAACTTACCATGTCTCATCAGAATCTGGTCATATTTGATTGAGTAATTGTGCGGAAACTGTGTCAATCTATAACACCACAGTATGCAAATTAATAAAATTCAGGTTTTGTTCTATTTTGACATGAGCTTTTTTCTTCGAATAATATAAATTTCAATGATTTGGTTTGGGTTTGTTTGTGTCCTTATGTCCTATTAACAGCTATGGTCATATAAGGACGTGTCAGGTTTTGGTGGTGGAGAAAAGCAAGAGTTCCTGGAGAGAAACCACTGTTCTAAGTAGGTCTCGAACCCGCGATCCAGTGGTGGAGGGCTAGTGGTAGCAGAATGTCAGACACCTTAACCACTTGGCAACCGCGGCCCAAGTATAATATAAATTTCAATGAAATTTGATCAGAATTGAGTCATACTTAATAAAGGTTATGCACAGATTTTGTTCATCTTCAAACTTTGTCGTTGTATATTGTACATGCTTATGTATAAGAAGTGTCATCATAATTAATAAAATATTTAAACATGTTAATGTGAACAGATTGATGCTCCCCATATAATATGAACGGTCGAAAATTAAGATGTGGTAAATTTGTGATTTAGGTGTATAAAAGTCTGGTTCTAAAGTCATGCCCAGGTACATCAAGTACAGAAATCTTGGACTAGGAAGTTTATAAGTTTCGGCTTCTATAAGCTAAATGGTCTAATAATCTACAACCAAACCAATAGCAATAAGTTGATTTCATCGTGTCCAAATCTATTATTCCGAAGCAGATACGATATAGGGCTCAGAGTACATGGCAGTGCCTGAGTTCACCACGTCCACAGGACGTCGTGCCGAGGCTCCACGTCTACCTCTCATCCCTGATTCCAGTGTCAGCCTTATAAAAGGTAGATAAGAACAGGTTTAAGACAATTTATTCTGAAACGACAGAAATTCCACATTAAAGAGTTGGTCCAGTCAACTGCTTCATGAATCTTGTTTCGGATTTTCTTTACAATTGATTTTGCTTGGCATCGTTGCCACACCATCCCAATAAATACTCATCTACCAGCTGCCCAGTGGTAGGAAGCTGTAACAGGGTTTGCTGCTTGGCACCAGGCTCCAGCTAAGACAAGTCCTCAGTATTGGAAGAAGCCTAACGCAATCAACCTCTGTAATCGCCCAGGCACAGACACAGCAAACCACTTTGATTTCAATTTGATTCCTAAATCTGGATCAATTTACAAATAAGCTTCCATTCTTGTCGATTTTGATATATGTTTGTATATATGTGTGAAGTGTTTTCATCCAGGCCTCAGGCAAACAAAAAATCCAAACAAATCCAGCTTGCCGCCATTTGTATAAATTGAAGCACACAGCACCAGTGTGACTATATCGATCAGTGAACATTTAGTTCCATATCAGCCGAATTAGATTTTAACAGGAGTGCATGGGGACAACATGTAAATCTTAACACATGCAGATTGGACCACTCTCCTGGACATTACAACATTAGCACTGCTGGAACTGAGAAGTAGGTCGGCCAGAAACTGGTGATCACATGTACAGACTACAGACAGGATGCTAAAGGAGTTTTCAGTTAATCCATTCACCCCAAACACGCATTTGAACCTTACCAAATCAAAGACTTGGTAAGTCCATTTTAAAGATGTAGGGGTGAATGAGTTAAGTGAGCTGTTAAGGCAGCATTGGAGGACATCAGATTTAGCACATACTCCAGTTTCTTACTTATTCTTATATTGACCATATGGATATGGTCCTATACCAATTTTTGCCATAAACACTCTTATTCAAGTTCCACAAGAACTTTCATAAAGAAACTTTCATAAAGAAAGTTTATAGAGAAACTTTCTGTGGTTGAGTGGTATTTTTTTGTAATTTCGGCTGAATTGCAATGCTCCATGGGGTAATATTTGTACTTCATTATACTTTTTTTTAGATAATGTCAAAATTTATCTCAACAAACTTTGTGAAGAGAACTTTTTTTAAAAACTAGAAAATGTCTGTAAGACATGAATGGCCCTTTACCAGACAAAAAGAAAGTCATGAATATTTATTACCATCGAAATGAGCACATCAAGAAAAACAGTTTTGATTCTAAGGTATTTGAAAACGACCCATGACTGTTAATCTTCTTTTACAGCTAACAAAACAGACAAATGAAGAAAGAAAATCATTGCAGATGATAGAATAAGATTGATTTATATCTTTCAAATCATTTATCATAGATTTTGCACACCCCATCATCTTCATCTTGTCTGGACAGTTTTATTTATTAAAGACCAAAAATCTAGCCAGGGAAAGATATTGACCATCAATTCTGATAGGTCTTATCAGTGAATAGCTTTAAATTATTCATAGTGATATTTTGTTGTAATAAAAACATAAAGGTTGAATCAGTCTTAATCTGAGGTACTGACAACAATTTAAAAGGAAGGTTTCTGGTCGTCAGAGCTGGTTAAAGTAACTGGCATTCTGCCAGCCAATCAGGCCTCAGTCATATCAATATATACATTTTTCAGTCCCCAAGAGTCTAGATAGATAGATTTGAATTTCAAATCAAGGATCTTGTAACTATTTATGATTCCTAACAGTCACAGCTTCTCATATATTTATCTGTTGAAAATAAATTTGATATTAAATTTTTTTTTGATTTTTTTTTTTGAAAACAGCCGGAGCATAGGAATTTCAGACAATTTGAATGACTGCATTGTGTCTTCACAGCAAAACTTTTGCACATAAACTACTGACACAATCTCAGAGCTTGGCCATTTCCTGGACTAATCTCGACATACACCAAATAACCTGAACTCTGCATCACATTCTTCTAATCAGATTCTTTTTAAAATGGAAGAGTTCAACAAGTTAATATTCTCATTGTACAACACAATTCAAGCTTTAATAATTGTCTTTTATATAACGCATTAGATATGGACTATCATGGTCTCCTTAATTGAATTATTTTTAATTCAGAAATATTCTATATGGAATGAATAATTACCGAGCGAACATTAAAATGAGGCAAATGCAAGTAACGCTCGGTTATAACAGGATATGAAATGCTCACCGAGTCTTTAACCTTAATTGAATGCTGCATCTGTCTTTCTGAGAATTGAGTTCATACTGCACCCAGGCACGAGGATCAAACAACACTATATTGTTTTAAAAGTAGCGGGAAGTCCCCTTCCATCATCAGACAGGTATTGGCAGATCGCCATGCCAATATCGACTCAAATCCAAAAGCAGACTTACGCCATCTTAATTACTACAATATGGTGTAAATTACCGTAATGAAAATATAAAGAGACAAAAAATTAACAGATATTTACTGTAAATGAATGTGTTTTTTTTGGAAATTATGGAATAATTGTTCCTCAGCATGCTTCATAATAATTAGTTTTTACATCCATATCCCCATGTTACACAGACTGAGTGTGTTGATACGAGGTAACAAGGAGCAAAAACTATAGCAGAGTTTTAAGTAACAAGAGTGGATGAGAGTTGGGGGGGGGGGGGGGGGGTCATTCAGTTAGTGGGAAAACGTGAGAAATATAAGGATTGTAAGATATCTTAAAGAAGTGAGTGGGGTGGAGATGGGGGAGAGAAGGGGGAACTTAACATTTCATTAGTGGGGATAGTGTGAGAGAAATAAGGATTGGAAGATATCTAACAGAAGTAACTGGGGATGGGGGGAGGTGGAGATCTGGGAAACTGTAACATCAGTTAGTTAGGTAGATGTTGGAAATATAGGGTTGCAAGACATCTATAAGAAGAATAGATCTAAGATCTAGACGGAGGGTAGATTTAGGTTCTAGATGTTTATGGTCCGGATTTGGTTGAAGCCAAGATCTAAGATCTAGATGGGGAGACTAGGTATTCAGTGAGGAGAAAAGATCTAGGATCTAGGTGGGGGTTAGAGTGGTGATAGATTTAGGATCTAAATGTCTATTGACTAGATGAAGAGAAAAGATCTAGGATCTAGATAGAGGCTAGAACACATATAGGTTATAGATGGAGGGTAGACAAGATCTAGGATCTAGATGGAGGGTAGAAAAAGGATCTAGACGGAGGCTAGAATAGATCTAGGATCTAGATAGAGGCTAGGAAATATCTAGGATCTAGATGGAGGGTAGAAAAGATCTAGGATCTAGATGGAGGGCAGAAAAGATATAGGATCTAGATGGTTGGTAGAACATATCTAGATCTAGGATCTAGAAGGAGGGTAGAAAAGATCTAGGATCTAGAATGAGGGTAGAAAAGATCTAGGATCTAGAATGAGGGTAGAAAAGATCTAGGATCTAGATGGAGGCTAGAAAAGATCTATGATCTATAATGAGAGTAGAATAGATCTAGGATCTAGATGAGGGAGACTCAGCTGAAGGACAGTATGTAGAGGATGATAACTTACCAACGACAGGCTCTATGATGTCCTCCAGCTCCTCGGGCTTGGTATTACTCAGCATGATGAGACCACCATTGGACACCTAGACATAACAATAAGCATTCAGTTATTTAACAAAAGTGTTCGAAATAAAGCCATGGCAAGGGGAGGTAATTTTGTGTAAATGAAGTGTTCAAAATAAAGGTGTTGGCAAGGGGAAGTAACTCAATGAGTAAATAAGTGTTTAAAATAAAGGTGTTGGCAAGGGGAAGTAACTCAATGAGTAAATAAGTGTTTAAAATAAAGGCCATGGCAAGGGGAAGTAACTCAGTGAGTAAATAAGTGTTCAAAATAAAGGCCATGGCAAGGGGAGGTAACTTTATGCATTTTCTACGAAAAGCAATAACAAAAAAATGATGGATATAGCACTTTTATCAATTCTTCACCAAATATACTTCATTTTCAGAGGGTACTATATTAAGCAAAAGCTAATCTTACACATGGCCCTCAATGCAGGCCCATTGTACATTGACAAACAGAGGTGAACTCACATCTTTGACAGGGACATATCTGCCGTCAGGGAGAGTGAGCACCTTCAGTTGTGCCTTCATCACACGTGCAGGGTTAGACAACATCAAAAAGTTGGGTTCAGGCTCTTTCTTTTCCTTTTCAGCCTTCTCTTTTTCTGCCTTCTCTTTTTCTGCTTTTTCTTTTTCAGCCTTTTCTTCTTCTTCCTTTTTCTCCTTTTCTTCATCCTTTTCATCCTACAAAAGAAGCGATCAATGCTTAACAACGGGGGAACAACAGGAAAATACCTACAATGTCGAGGCATACGAGACAGAATATATCAGGCAGGATATTGTTACTTCTATCACCTGAACTCTGATATAGGGGGTTGTAGGCTGGGAGGGGGTTGTAGTCTGATATAGGGGTTGTAGGCTGGGAGGAGGTTATGGTCTGATATAGGGTTTGTAGGCTGGGAGGGGGTTTAGTCTGATATAGGGGTTGTAGGCTGGGAGATGGTTATGGTCCGATATAGAGGTTTGGTCTGATATAGGGGTTGTAGGCTGGAAGGAGGTTGTAGTCTGATATAGGGGTTGTAGGCTGGAAGGAGGTTGAAGTCTGATATAGGGGTTGTAGGCGGGGAGGGGGTTTAGTCTGATATAGGGGTTGTAGGCGGGGAGGGGGTTTAGTCTGATATAGGGTTTGTAGGCTGGAAGGAGGTTGTAGTCTAATATAGGGGTTGTAGGCTGGAAGGAGGTTGAAGTCTGATAAAGGGGTTGTAGGCGGGGAGGGGGTTTAGTCTGATATAGGGGTTGTAGGCTGGAAGGAGGTTGTAGTCTGATATAGGGGTTGTAGGCTGGGAGGGGGTTGCAGTCTGATAAAGGGGCTATAGGCTGGGAGGGGGTTTAGTCTGAGATGGGGTTTAGTCTGATATAGGAGGTGGTAGGCTGGGAGGGGGTTATATTCTGATATAGGGGGTTGTAGGCTGGGAGGGGGTTGTATTCTGATATAGGAGTTGTAGGCTGGGAGGGGGTTGTATTCTGATACAGGGGTTGTAGGCTGGAAGGGGGTTGTAGTCTGATATAGGGGTTGTAGTCTGATATAGGGAATATTGTCTGATTATAGGGTTTGAAGGTTGTATCAGGGTTGTATAAATGAAAGTTGGTGGCATCCTTGAGATATTAAAGACCAAACCTGATATGCAGCTTCAAATGGAGTACCTGAGGACTGTTATCTTTATTTACTACTGTTTCTCGTTATTTACTATGATTTCGCTCCAGGGTCCATCTCAATGGCTGACCCTACTGTCTGACCTTGTGTTATCTTTATGCGCTGATGGACCATTCAGAACTTATTAGATAAACTTTTAGATCAACATAATGATACTATAACATCTTAATCTGTACTCAATCTTCTAAACTACTGTTTTGATGTGTTATTTTTGTGCGAAGGGAGATAGTGTATAACTTTACTAACAAGAGTTAATGAGCAGCATGTCTGCAGCATTGTTTACAACTGGGAGTGAAGATAATAAGAACTTCTGGAATGTTTCAAAAACGGTTCACCTATTACTAGTACAATGACCATCGCGTGAAGTTAACAGGTCATGAAACTTACAATCTCACAAACCACTCTATCTTCACTTAAATTACTGTGTTGTCTGGCCTTGGAAATGGTCTTCCTAATTATCTCTACCCCTCCCCTACTGGTCTTGTAAGCCTCCGTTCTGTTTGTGCTGGCCTCCCCCTCCCTACCTTTACCCTTTACTGATAACCTATCCACCTCTCCAAATTGTCTGGCCTTGGAAATGGTCTTCCTAATTATCTCTACCCCCTCCCCTACTTGTCTTGTTAGCCTCCCTTCTGCTTGTGATGACCCCCCTCCCCCTCCCTACTTTTACCTGATACTGATAAACCCAGCCTCCCCTTCTATCCTTTCTTCAACCACCCCCTCCATATACTGATAATGATCTATACTTTAGTAGCCTCCCCTCCCCTCCCCTCCCTACTCCAAATATCCTTGGATGTTCTATCATTGTCTACTTAAAACCACTAAATACTGATGATAGGATCTCCGTCCATCACAGGGTAATAACTTAAGTTCTTAACTCATTCACCCCAACATTTTTAAAATGGACTTGCCCAGTCCTTGATCTGGTAAGGTTCAAATGTGACTTTAGGGGTGAAAGGGTTAACAAACAAGGCCTTGGTCATTCAACTTAAAAAACCCCAGAATCATTATGTTTATTATGTTGTTTGGATATCTGTCCTTCACTTCTTCACTGCTCAAACCACAGTTTGTAAAGAAATCTATGAAGCTCATGGTGTTAAATCTATCACAATCTTTATACATGTTCATTAGTGTTTTTCTCTTGTTAATTTGGGATGGGACATTTTTGTAAGAAAATATTCCAATCGGAAAGGAAATTTTCAGGAGTAAACTCTGAAATTTTGGGAATTAGGCATAAATATGAAATAGTTTCAATTGGGAATGGGGCCTTATCAGCCCCAAAAAGTCTCCAGAAAAAACCCACTGATAAAACATCAAAGTGTTGTATGTTGAACACATCGTACTGTACTTAATAACATATTAGTGGTACATGTTTACGTCAAAGGAATTTTGATTTCAGAAATCCTTGACTATTTCTATCACTGCATTCCAAATAAGTCCCTTTGGTTTCATTCACGGCTCACTTTATTAGTTTAATATCAAACTGAGAAGTGTTTGTAAACATCAATAATACATACAACGTCCATCTTGTCGGAGTCCGTTTTGTCCTTTTTCTCGTCTTTTTTCTTCTGTTTGGCAGTGATGCTGAGGACGGCTGTCTCCACCTTTTCCTTGGCTTTGTCCTTCTTCTCCTCCAGGGCTGCTGCGTAGGCGTACAGCGAAGGTTTTGCCCCGGACCTCACCTCAATCTTTGGCATCTGGCATAGGAAAAAGCACAATTCATCAGTAAAATAATTGCAATTGAAAGTATGATGTGCCTTTCAATAGGCTTAAGACACATTTTGTCTGATAAATTTTCACCATTGGATCTTTGAAAGAATAATGTTCTCAGTGTTGAAAGAATGGTCCAGTTTGAGGAACTCCTTTATTTTTTTTAAATTTCAAACTGACTGAAATACTTTTCAATCTATGTTTGGTAAAAACAGCAGAAAATAAAACTTTGATGAAAATATCCAATTTTGCATAAATACCTGAATTGATGAATCCCTCGACAACATCATCCCCAAATTAAGATTATTAAGCTCATCATGACAAAGGACCTTTTAATTCTCTAATACATCAGTCTCACAAACCCAGGCTATTTGAATTTGGCCGAACATATAAAAGGGATAACTGTTATGTCTATACAGTTTGATCAGACAAGAAACTCAAACTGAGATTGTCCTCTTTCAGCATGACACGGGTGACTAACATCAAGATTCTCATTCAACAAGTTGAGACAAATTACCTTAATTGAGTTCCTCATTCAGGATGNGAGGAAATCTCAAGAGTTGAGATGTTTTATACAAGTGGGCCTAGGTGACTAACATCAAGAGTCTCATTCAAAAAGTTGAGACAAATTACCTTAATTGAGTTCCTCATTCAGGATGTAATAGGTGGCACGAAAAGCTTTAAGCATCAGATACAGGTGTCTAACCTTAAGATCTTAATTCAGCGTGAGACAGGTGACCTACCCAAAAATCCTCATTCAACACTAGAAAAGTGACTGATTTCCAAGATCCTCATTCCACAGAAGACAAAGACAGATCTTAAGATTATCATTCAGCAAGGTAAGACAGGTGACTTTAATTGAAATCCTCATTCAGCATGGGAACTTGTGATTTACCTTAAGATCTTCGTTTAGTATGATGAGACAGGTAACTTACCTTAAGATCTTCGTTCATCCTGATGAGACAGGTAATTTACCTTAAGATCTTCGTTTAGTATGATGAGAAAGGTAACTTACCTTAAGATCTTCGTTTATTATGATGAGACAGGTAACTTGCCTTAAGATCTTCGTTTAGTATGATGAGACAGGCAACTTACCTTAAGATCTTCGTTCATCATGGTGCCACAGGTAACTTTCCTTGAGATCTATGTTCAGCTTACTGAAACATGTAACTTACCTTGAGATCTTTGTTCTTCATGATGAGAAAGGTAATCTACCTTAAGATCTTCGTTCATCCTGATGAGACAGGTAACTTACCTTGAGATCTTTGTTCATCCTGATGAGACAGGTAACTTACCTTAAGATCTTCGTTCATCATGATGAGACAGGTAACTTACCTTGAGATCTTTGTTCTTCATGATGAGAAAGGTAATCTACCTTAAGATCTTCGTTCATCCTGATGAGACAGGTAACTTACCTTAAGATATTCGTTTTGTATGATGAGATAGGTAACTTACCTTAAGATCTTCATTCATCCTGACGAGACAGGTAACTTACCTTGAGATCTTTGTTCAGCTTACTGAAACAGGTAACTTACCTTGAGATCTATGTTCAGCTTACTGAAACAGGTAACTTACCTTGAGATCTTTGTTCACCCTGATGAGACAGGTAACTTGCCTTAAGATCTTCGTTCATCGTGATGAGACAGGTAACTTACCTTCAGATCTTCGTTCATCATGACGAGACAGGTAACTTACCTTGAGATCTTTGATCTTCATGATGAGAAAGGTACTCTACCTTAAGATCTTCGTTCATCGTGATGAGACAGGTAACTTACCTAAGATCTTCGTTCATCATGCTGAGACAGGTAACTTACCTTCAGATCTTCGTTCATCATGATGAGACAGGTAACTTACCTTAAGATCTTCATTCAGCATGATGAGACAGGTAACTTACCTTAAGATCTTCGTTCAGCATGATGAGACATGTGGGGGTGAAAGCCAGGGACATGAAGTGCGTAAGAGGATACCAGAACCAGAACTGTGTGAACACCAACATTCCCACCACAGCCTCCATGTTGGTGTGACCTGTCCGTGACTGTAGCGATACTGTCATGTTCCGTCCACCTGAAATACACACAATTCGTATATGAGTGATCAATGAACCGAAACTTTGGCAATTCTTGATTCAACCAGATTTTCAGTAAATTTTGACCTCAGAAAATGTTGATCCCATAAGATTTTCCTTGCTGTTTTCACACAATTTTTTATCTGCCAAATTGTGATGGCCACAGCGAAAGTTGATTCCACTTGTTTTCATGTTAGTGGAAAAGAACAATTTTCTAATATAAGAAAAAATAATATAATTCCATGTTCAATAAATTGAGATTCAATCCAATCTTCATTCTTCTTGATATTCAATATATGGTATGTAAACTTGATTTTTTAAATTTTATTCCCTAATCAATTTTTTAAAATATTTTCAATGAACAGTAAATGGAAACGGCTAAAAAAAGGGTGATTCAACTTTATTTTCAGTGCTAAATATGTGAGAAAGAAACATTCCGATACAGAAAAAAGAGGAACAATCAGATTTCCAGTGTTACATGTGTAAGAGAACAAAAGGTACTGTAGAGTTTAATAGAGTAATGTTCCACCGACATGGAGGGGAGAGGGAGAGGGGGACAGGACATGCAGCTTCTGTGTATTATTACTCCCCACTCCCAGACAACTTGTCTGACCGACCTTAATACAACCTCCTAAAAACCTCCACAGGAAGGAACAAGCATTGTTTGTCATCATTAAAACCCTACCAACATGACTCCCTACTGTTTGTCATCGTTAAACTTCTAGGGTATACAAAAACGTCTTTAGTGTAGCTTAATTAACTGCTTCTGTATATAAAACATCTTTTTTATTATCCATCTAAGTCAAACACATTATACAACACACATATATTAGTGCGTTCCACACTCAAGTACAGTCAGATCTGTTTTAAATCTCAACATCAGTATATTTAAGTGGCCAACAGCTATAAAAAACAGGTTTTAAGTAAACTTTATTGTGAATCCCGGAAGCTCATTATCAGTTTTAATGAGTTTTAGGTGTTGAGGTGAGACTTTGGGGAGGACTCGCCACAAACAGATGGTGCAGGCAGCTGCACATTATTGCAGGAACTGAAACATCAACAATTATAAAGGTACCGCTGATTACATGGACAAGGTGATAGGAGGTGATCGTATAATGGGAAATATTAATTGTCTGTGGGAAAGGGAGAGTAGGGGTAGGGAGTGACAGGATGTGCCACAAATAGGGGCTGTAGGTGGTGGGAGAGAATTGGAGAGGGTAGGACAGGGGTAGGGAGTGACAGGATGTGCCACAAATAGGGGCTGTAGGTGGTGGGAGAGAATTGGGAAGGGTAGGACAGGGGTAGGGAGTGACAGGATGTGCCACATATAGGGGCTGTAGGTGTTGCGAGAGAATTGGGGAGGGGAGGACAGGGGTAGGGAGTGACAGGATGTGCCACATATAGGGGCTGTAGGTGTTGCGAGAGAATTGGGGAGGGGAGGACAGGGGTAGGGAGTGACAGGATGTGCCAGAGATAGGGGCTGTAGGTGTTGTGAGAGAATTGGGGAGGGTAGGACAGGGTTGGGAGTGACAGGATGTGCCACAGAAAGGGGCTGTGAGGGCAGGGGTAAAGTGTGTTGAGATAGGACAAAAAGGGGGCTTAAAAAAAGGAGTGAGAGGAAGAGCTAGTGATTGTTTGGTTTGATTCGTTTGTGTTTTTTGCCCTTTTAAAAGCTTCGGTCTTTTAAGGACATGCCAGGTTCTGGTGGTGGAGAAAAACAATTGACCTGCGGCCAGTACCTGGAGACTGACCGACATAGGCCTTGATTGATGGAGGGCTGTAGTGATTGTAGATGGTCAGACGCCTTGACCACTCAGGCCAAGCTAGTAATAGTAGTGCTGGAATTAGGAAGGAAGTTGCAAGGACACATTGAGGGTAACATAGAGACAACAATTGCAGAATTGAAACGAGTGAAATGGAAAGTGGTGGGTGAGGCATGATCAGGACGGATGGGATAAGTGTGGGAATGACTCTGTGTGTTTGTGCAGGGGAGGGGGTCAGGAGGGTTGGGAAGGGGAGGAGTTTCAATATGTCCTTAGTGCTTAGGAGAGTATGAGTATTAATTGGTATGGGTGTTGGCATATGTAAGCGAGGCTGTCATGTTAGGGGCATGATGGTACGAGTGAAGGAAAGTGTTGAGGAAAGGGTATAGGGCGAGTGTGATTGGAGGAAAGTGTTGAAGACAGGGTATAGGGTGGGTGTGAGTGGAGGAAAGTGTTGAGGACAGGGTATAGGGTGAGTGTGAGTGGAGGAAAGTGTTGAGGACAGGGTATAGGGTGGATGTAAGTGGAGGAAAGTGTTGAGGACAGGGTATAGGGTGAGTGTGAGTGGAGGAAAGTGTTGAAGACAGGGTATAGGGTGGGTGTGAGTGGAGGAAAGTGTTGAGGACAGGGTATAGGGTGAGTGTGAGTGGAGGAAAGTGTTGAGACCAGGGTATAGGGTGAGTGAGTGGAGGAAAGTGTTGAGGACAGGATATAGGGTGAGCGTGAGTGGAGGAAAGTGTTGAGGACAGGGTTTAGGGTGGGTGTGACTTGAGGAAAGTGTTGAGGACAGGGTATAGGGTGGGTGTGAGTGGTGGTAGGTATGGGTTGGCTAGAATGAGGACAGATATAATATATAACAAGAGGCCCATGGGCCTTAACGGTCACCTGATATATTTATACAGAGAGTTGATTTTGTTTTTAACATGAACAGAAATATTATTCAAAGTGACAAAAAACAATAAAACCACCTTATTCAATATCTAGCATACAGATTTCAGACTAAAAAGTATTTGAAACTAGCACCTCTGATTCTAAACAAGAAAAAATGAAGAAATTTTAGCACACTGACTCCTTTGAGCCCCACACTACAGCCCTTGGGGGTAGGGCTGGCTCAAAATTTTCAAAGTATCAAACTGTCAACTCAAGGTTATAATTCCAATCAAATTATTAACATGTAATATTCAAAGTATCATTTGCCATTATAAACCATAATAAATGTTGCACCCCACCCCCCTTCCCCAGGGGGTAAACGTGAGACCCTAGGGTCATAAACCTTAAGACCCTTCCATCTATGAAGAGTATTTGATTCTACCATATCTGGGTCTTGAGAAGAAGATTTTTGAAATTTCAGTAAATTCAACCCTTTTTGGCCCCACCCATCAGCCCCTGGGGGTCAGTCAGGGCTCATAGGTGCATACTATCAAACTGCTACCTAATACTGATAATGCTAACCCAAATTGAATTACTTCCAATGGAAATTAAACAAATGTTGGTCCAAAATGTGATTTCCCTATATAAACTATAGTAAAGTTTACCCCCTCCCCAGGGGGAAACGTGAGACCCCAGGGTCAAGAAATTCACAATTTCGGTAAAGCACCTTAAGACCCTTCCATCTATGAAGAGTATTTGATTCTACCATATCTGGGTCTTGAGAAGAAGATTTTTGAAATTTCAGTCAATTCAACCCTTTTTGGCCCCACCCATCAGCCCCTGGGGGTCAGTCAGGGCTCATAGGTGCATACTATCAAACTGCTACCTAATACTGATAATGCTAACCCAAATTGAATTACTTCCAATGGAAATTAAACAAATGTTGGTCCAAAATGTGATTTCCCTATATAAACTATAGTAAAGTTTACCCCCTCCCCAGGGGGAAATGTGAGACCCCAGGGTCATGAAATTCACAATTTCGGTAAAGCACCTTAAGACCCTTCCATCTATGAAGAGTATTTGATTCTACCATATCTGGGTCTAGAGAAAAAGATTTTTGAAATTTCAGTAAATTCAACCCTTTTTGGCCCCGCCCCTCAGGCCCCTGGGGCCTTGGGACTAAACCGGCCCCCATTTTTGTTGACCATTGTCCTTGGAAGGTCCCTGCAAAATTTCATTGAAATTGGTTCAGGGGTTTTGGAGAAGAAGATTTTTGAAATTTTAATCAATTTGACCCTTTTTGGCCCCGCCCATCAGGCCCCTGGGGGCTTGGGACTAAACCGGCCACTATTTTTGTTGACCTTTGTCCATGGAAGGTCCCCACAAAATTTCATTGAAATTGGTTCAGGGGTTTTGGAGAAGAAGTGGAAAATGTAAATTGTTTACGGACGCACGACGGACAAAAGGCGAACGCAATAGGTCACTTGAGACTTTGTCTCAGGTGACCTAAAAACACGCTGAGCTACTATCATCTTCCTTTGAAAAATAAATGATGTTGAGTTCAAACTGAATCAAGAGTTCTCATTAACCACTTAACCCCATGTAAGGAAGACTGGTCACTTACTTCTGGGTTATCTCCTTTGAGGAAACATTTCCGTATCTGATATCAGTTGCAGAGTTGTATATAAATTACACTTGTTTTGTTACAGATGTTCAAACTACAAAATGAACTTTTTACCCCAGACTTAACATCAAGTGCCACTGGAATATATTATTGGAGTCAACTTGATATGGATACTTAACCATAATGAATCGCTATCTGAGATTCAAACGATTTGTATCATTTATCTATTTGTACAGGACGTCCACTGATACAGGGGGATATGCTATTCCTCACCAACCATGTGCTGTATAACACTTGAGGGGAAAACAACTAAAGCATGAAGACCTGGTGGCCTTGAGCTCTCTACATATGTTTTATCGGCAGGGTTAAGGTCACTCACTTCCCGTGTAGGCCCTTGTGTTGACATGGGCTATAACATTTGAACAAGGTATTCTGATTAGGCTAAAGTAAAATAAATTTTCTATATATATCCAAATTTTATCATCTAAATTAATGTGTTTATTTTGTTAATTTTAGACAAGCAATATTATGTGGAAGTACTATCTTCTATAACTTTTGTCTTTAATTAAACTACCTTAATTTTTTGTCTAACCAGGGCCCGTATTTATAAAACCATTCTCATACTCAAATACTGATTATGTGCTTAGCATAACTCTTTGTTCCAATGACAAATTATACAAATTTCACATTTTTGGGTATAGTATGGAAAGCCATGAAGCCAGATACCATTTCAATGTCCTGAATTTACTTTTAAATTGTGTCACATGACTTCAGCGAGCTAGAGGAAAGTTGAATGGAGCACATAATTCATGCTTCAGTCTGAGAATCATTCTTGTCATGAATATAGACCCAGTTCTCCAGGATACTTTGTAGAGATGGAAATGAAAGAGTGAGAGTATGATATTGTGTCAAAAAAATCTTCATGAGCTCAAAAGTTTCTTTTGATATCATCTGATTGAAAGAGCCCTAAATTTTATACAATACTAACCTTATTGGTGAAAGAGCCCTTTTTTGATATAAGCCTCTGGTTAGAGAACCCTTTTTGATACAAGCCTCTGGTTAGAGAACCCTTTTTGATACAAGCTACCTCTTTGGTGGAAGAGCCCTTTTTGATACAAGACTCATTGGTGGAAGAGCCCTTTTTATGCAAGCCTCAAGGTTAAAGAACCCCTTTTTGATACAAGCCTCTTTGGTGAAAGAACGTTTTTGATACAAGCTTCTTTGGTGAAAGAGCCCTTTTTTAAAATATGACTCTTGGTGAAAAAGCCTTTTTGATACAAGCCTCTTTAGTGAAAGAGCCCTTTTTTGATATAAGCCTCTGGTTAAAGAACCCTTTTTATAAAAGTCTTTTGGGTGGAAGAGCTCTTTTCTGATACGAGCCTCTTAACAGAAGTCTTACCTATATTACAAGCTTCTGAGTAAAAGAGCTTTACAATAAACCTCAAACTCTCAACAAAACAAGCCTTTTGATGAAAGAGTTATTTTCTATATCACAAACCTTTGAGATGAAAAGGTGTTTCCCACAATTCAAAAGCTCACAACAGTTTGTGTTTATGAAAATAAACGACCAATAACAATCCCATCGACATAATACAATCCTATTCCATGACAAATTAGGTTTCTATGAGACAAAACTTCCATCATGTTAGAGTAAGTGAGATAGAATGCTTTTATTGAAGGGTATTGTAATACACTAATAGTGCCCATTCTTCTACGTCGCCTCCCCTGGGATGAGAACCTCTCCTCCGCCTTCCCAGGGACACATTCATTCAAATAAAGTAGACTCTAAGATGCTACTTGATATTTTTTTGTAAAATATTTCATGCTGGAGCCATATCTAATCCTTTCTCGTAACACCAATGACACTTCAGCTTCTGAAAGCTAAGATTACAGAATGCGTGAATCTATAAACATTCTTTCGTACCCTCGTAAATTCTCACGGAAAAGATCTATATTCCTCTGTTTAAGATTTATTGTCAGTTAGCATGGTATATTTGAAACACAAATCAAAGACCCTGATTTTTGTTTTATGGTTTTAAATGTCAAAGTGACAATGGCATGGTTTTGATATGGCAGGATGTGTTTGGCTCGCAATGATAAGACTTGTACATGTTTTTTGCTTTTCTATTGGTAAGATCATTTAAAAAATTTAAGTGCCACTCACCGCTCAAAGCATGCATTTATATAAAACCTACTTGAAGTTAATTCTTCCCTTGTCAATACCAGGAATGTTTAGTCTGATTGCAAAATGAATGAATTTTGATCTACCCCATAGACAGTGGTTAAACCAGTGCAAAAATATGCTACACAACTTCTCAACTCTCATTTCCAGCTCCTTCAACCATCAGGCTAAAAACCCTTATCTCTTCAAAGGCCCAATAGCCAAATAAAGTAAGAAAAAGTTGTCTGCAATATTGTCCGAAACATTTTTATTTAGTTCTGAACCCAATATAAATCTTAGTCAAGCAAAGTATTTTTAACCAATAACAAACAAAGTAAACAATCGTGTTGACCAATCAGATCACAGCTTATTTTTCATTACAGCAGTTTTTTTTCTATCTAGATCATCTGTATGTTTGTACCTATGTGATCTGTGTGATAGCTTTGATGCATGTGTATGATAGAGATATGTGGAAATCTGCCTATTTCTATAAACATACCAAGCCCTTTCACTAAATGGTTAGAATCGCTGGGTACTAGAAATAACTGTCCAGGTATTGGATATGATTGAGAAATGCTTTGTGAATCTGGTAATTTGCTGAAATTGAAAGTTTTGATAAGAAATGATTCAGCCAATGACCCTCCCTGAGGAGATTCAGTATTTCTCTTTGTTCCTTTATTCATCCTTCCTTCTCCTATCTACAGTAGGGTTCTCTGTGGAGGGGTTAACAGGTACAGTTTATGTACAAAACAGAGGCTGTAGATTATCCTAAACTGATGCACTTGGGTTATCGGTAGATTCCGATTCTGCTCTGGTGCACCAGGCCATTCAGACCACAGAGACTATCCTCAGATCACAATAAAGTCTGACAGTTCTCTACACACACCCTCGTCACAGGGGAGATAATCTACCACGTACCCAATAACATGTCAGGTGTATATCACATATTTCTTTTAATGCAATTTACTTAAATCCATATACTCTTCACTTGTCCCTGGTGATATAATCGAGAAAATTGTACCTAAAAAATCATTATTTAGTGCCTACCTCCTTCCTTTTTTCTGCAGTGTACTTTTAAGATTTCAACTCCCACAATGCTTTGTGTGGATCATTAATGATTTTAACTTATGTTTACGCTAGTAGGATTATCCTAATCTCCTTGGAATGTTTATCCACTGAGGAGGAGTAATGGATTTAACTTAAAACCCCAAATTGAATCTTGAAGTTGCACAACGATAAAGATTAAACAACGGACTGATCTTCTGCGTCAGGCAGAGGACCCCACAAAACACTTAACTATGATAATAGCTCCTGGAACGGAGTACAAACCATTAAAAAGTGTTTAAAGTTAACAGTTGTCAAGTTGGTAAAACAGAAAATATGTAAAATTTATACTGTTACAGATAAGTATATATCCTGTAGCCCACAACATCAGGACTGACAGTATATAACCATGCATGTCTAACACTGCTTATCTCTGTGATTTGGTTTTTAGCATTGGATGAAGCATTGTGGAAACTAGTAAGATGAGACTTCTGACATTGTATATGTCGTTCTAGTAGTCAAGTCTCAAGCTTGTGTGATGTCTAGTATATAGGTTTAAAGCTGTTGTGATGTCTAGTATATAGGTTTTAAGCTGTTGCGATGTTTAGTATTTAAGTCTAAGGAAGCTACTGACTTTTGACATTGTAAACATTGCTACGTTTTGTATAAATTTGCAAATGAATGTTTAAACTAAAACTAGAAAACCTCTGCAATGCATGGATGCCCCCTTTGTCTTTGTGGCTGGCATATACATATGTATGTATATATCAACAGTGACCTTGCGACCCTGAAATACAAACTCCTCTGAGGTTTTCTCATTCTTGACCTTTGTATAAACCTTTGTAAATATCTGTTCAGAAATGATGTTGGTAGAGTCATCGCAATGAATCGACATCGGACAGGTGGGACAGGATCAACACTGGTACACTACGTATCCCTATCCCCTATAAAATGGCTTGGGCATAAAAAAAAGTGCCTCCGTCCATCCAAGCGTTTTAGTTCAAAAGCTTACCTCTATTTATGTCCCCTCTCTACCTATTAGATAGTGCTCATCTTTTAATATGTTTCTTGCCGAATATTTATTGTGTAACCGTGCATGTCATTTTATGTGTCGGTTTTAATAGCTCATTATAGCTAATGTTGTATTGTTTTAACCATACCAACGTTAAATAAAACTTTTGATTTGATTTGATTTCAGGTCTGCGTGAACGTGCACAAAAGTGTTTTTTTCTGTTTTCTGATGGTACAGTAACTGCTTTACCAACTTACAACAAACCATTCAGATTGATATGTCTCACCTGTGCCCCACTTTGACCATCAATGCACATATCAGAGAAATTAACTTAAACGCAAAAACGTAATGTTGACGCTGCCGTCGTCGCCGGAAAAGCAACACCTTAGTCTTGCTTCCGCTCCTTTGTGGTGGCAAGACAAAAATGATAGGAACACACAAGCACTGTTTCTATCTACAAAAATAGGTTTTAATTTTTATGTTCTCGTTTATTTGCCAAAGTTCTTATAAAGCTGTTAAATGGGTCTTTAATCATGCCCATCAGTGATTAATTATTTCCATCTACCCTAACCGATCTAAGCTATACCCCTTGTAAACACCTACCAGCGTCCATGATCCCCTTAGCAAGGATGGCTCCAAACTTGGCCATTACATCATCGTGTTTGTCAGCGACGATCTTAGTGAACAGTGTTCTGAAGGTGTTCACCTGAAAACATATCATGGGAAAGGTTTCATCATAAACAGGAAGAGATAAATGAATTTTTGAAGTGCATGCAGACACATTCTTGAAAGAATGTGCAGATCATTTAAGATAAAATACCAAACCCCTACATTTAAGGTCTGTATCATTACTAGCACTCAAGTACAAATCAGCCAATCAACCTATTTTGTATTGAACAATAAAATGTAGGAGAATACAAAGTGGATCAAAAGAGGGCCAATGGCTCTGTAACTGGAATTCAGATAAATGAAAGGGGGAACAGTAACCTATTCGCCCTGAAAGTCACATTTGAATCTTACCAAATCAAAGAATGGGCAAGTCTATTTTAAATAAGTAGGGGTTAAAGAGTAAGTAGTAAACAGTTCACATGGCCACAACAAAAGTAGGGAAAAGTGTAAAGTAAATGGTGTTCAAGGTCATTTCATGGTCATAGCAACAGAATTAGAACATTTTACAAATATGATAAGTTTTTTCATCTCTCCATCTTTTGTTTATTTTTACATTATATTTTGATTAATTAAGATCTGGCTTTGTAAATGTACTTTTAGTGAGGGTACAGCTTACATTACATACATTTAATGCAACATAAAAATTTCCGAAACAAAGGCTAAGAGTTCGTTCAAATCGTAAATATGCAATGAACATTCCAATTAATTAACCGTAGCAGTATTAGCCTAACAGTAAAAGTGAAACTGTATGATGGCTTTATTTGATGATTGTAGTAAGAATTGAATACTTTTCTTGTGCAGTCTAGGAATGCAGTACACAGAATTTGCCTATCAAAGTCAGATAGCCTGCCTACAAGTTGGAATTCCTCCAAATACTCCTCATAAACACATAAACTTCTATATAATCTTTTCAGATAATTGTGTGAAGCGAGATATTTCTTCACGGATTTAAATTATTTAGCAGCGAACAGAAGTTTTTTCATGTGAGCCAGCCTGTGTCCTAGACAAAATATTCAAATTCCCTTAAACAGATCTAAACCTTACTTTCACCAAAAGATGCCAACGACGAACCTAATGTCAATAATTGATCAAGGTTGGGCCGACATGAACCAATAACAGACCGATCAGAGAGTAGAGTCCTGTATTGTTTGACCTTGAAAAACCCCTACAAAAGTTTCCATTCTGGGTGGATGTTATAAATAATAAGTGGAATGAAAATATATTTTTTATTGTTTCTCGTTGAAATGACCCATGTAATTGAGTTTTCCTGATTAATTCCCGGAGGAATATGCTTGAAGTAGTTAGCTAGATGGTGTTATTGGCCAAATTTTGCCTGCCAGATATACGAGGACATAATAATCAAGCTTGAAAGCTTATTTCTTCATTTTGTGACGTGGGATTTTGTTACGGCTGCATTTTCTAACAATCTTAATATTGTTGAATGATTTGGCAGCATACTTTAGCTAATTCACCCCTGAAGATACATTTGAACTCTTCCAGTTCAAAAGTTGGAATAGTTCATTATGAAATTTCAGGGGTGAATAAGTTTAATTTCATTGTTAAAATGTATGCATAAATAATTTCTCCTCGTTATGACTATTGCATAACTGTATGTAACAACCACCTGAACTTATTGATCAATCTATTAAAATCAGTCAAGTGGCTCTTCTACTCAGATTCAAATACATAAGCAATAAACGCATACATTTACGTGATTATATACATCAACGAAAGTGCATAGCACAAGCGATTGGATGTGTTAGTCCTTAATACGACATACACATCCTCTCAAAACCAACTTAACGTATATGTGTATGTCCTTGATAAGAGGACTAGATCCCAACAAAGGTAGACAAAACAACGTTGAGAGTCAAACATTGGTGCTTGAATATTTGGAACCTATCCTTATTTTCAATATGCCGACATGATCAGCGGATAAGAATTTATGAGTTCAGCTAAAACGGAGTTATGTCTAAAGGGAATACAGCATTCCTGTATTGTCACCTTCACGAAACGCTGTACAGCAATTTCTAAAAACAGCCTGTATCATCGTATCAATATTACATCAGGTATGTAATAAAATGAACTAGGTTATTCAAAAGTTTATCCTGAAGATGTTTGCTGTTTACTTGCTTGGATTCAATACTTACACCTGTTTAATTATAGAAATTGCCTCATGTTGGCTTAAGGTCAATGCAATCTAATATTTCTCATGTTGGCTGAAGGTCAATGCAATCTAATATTCGTGTTTTAGTTATGATAAATGGCTTCTGAAATAACCCATCTGGAGATGGCCAAGGTCAACCTTGCCTTAGCGCCTTTCCCTATAGCTAGAACACCTGAAACCACTCACAGATTACAGGTTTAACTCATGCACCCCTACACTTTTAGACCCAATTTGCCTGGTCTTTGATTTGGTAAGGTTCAAATGTGACTTCAGGGGTGAATGGGAATAGAGTGTAGTTTGTTCTCTACACATTGATTCCAATATTTTGTAACAGTGACCTTACACTTTTTCTTATAAATGCTTTAAAATCTATCAAATGAAGTTTAAAGTCAACAGGTGGTAGTGATAAACCTACTTCGGCAGTGGAATCAAAAAATATTTTCCTTAAATAATGAGGTATGAAATTTAATAAAATGTATTAAAATCCTTGAACAGTTACCTTGGGACAGGTGACCTCATTCTGCTGGATGATGACCAGAGCCAGTGCGATGAGCGCCCCCTGGCGGACATAGTTGACCGGGTCATTTATCATCGGCTCCAACAGGCTAACAGCTTCCTACAACACAAAAATCGCAAATGTTAGAAAGAAGATTTTTTTATTTTTTTAGGCCATATTAGAAGAGTGTGTCGAAGAAAGAAGGTCATTCTATGATAGAAACAGCATCCAAATGTTAGTAGCTTGACATTTTATATCTCTTGTTGAATGATTTATGAAAAAGTGGAATAAAAATGTTCGTAAACCAACACAATTCTCTGGCAGGGAGGTCCAACGTCTTACAGGCAATGGTCTGTGGTCTCTCTGGTACAGGAATCAGAGTTGGATATCACAAGGATATTCAAACAGAGCTCCATCAAAGAGTAATAAATTCAATAAAGTAAACGAAGGAGTTTCAACAACAAAGATTCCGTTATGGTAGACGTTTTATTGTTGACATGTTGCGTTAGGCTAGGCCTTAACCGACATCAGAACAATTTTACAAGCTTAGGTGCGAATTACGGATCACAATATAATGACATCATGGATATTGAATCATAGAGTGGTAGATTTTAATTGTAAATGGGATAACAATTGCCATCTAGCTTCGATTAGAGAAAACTTTAGCTCAGTGGTAGAGCGTCCGACCAGGAAGTCTGGGATCGCAGGTTCGATCCCCGGTGGAAGCACTCTACTCGGCTTCCTGTTACAATAGTATTACTGTCTGTCAGACATATTTTGATACAATGATGAAATATTTACTCAACGATAAACAAAGTAACTCAGCAAAAGGTAAAGGAGCTGGATATCAGTCATATTAACACTATGATAGAAACTCTTATTGGTATTTCAATGACAGAAATATTAATTAAGTTGTAACTCTGTGAGATAAACATCAAGATAATTAAGTTTATGAATAATAATATTTTGTTTCTGCCAGTAGTTTCCTACAACTGTTGAAGATGCTTTATAGATAATGTTGGCTAAATATAAAGCAACATCATAAAAATATTTATAACAAATGTGAAATCAACCTCAGAAATGTTACTGACAGTACTACTATACTAATACTAAGGCAAAGGTGTCTTATACAAATGTGCAATATTTGACAAATAAAACAGAAACTGAGAGAAAGCAGCTGTTTCATCTGTTTATAAAGGTGGCAGTTAATAAGCTTCATTGGCGTAGTTCTGGGAAGTACACCTAATTATAGCTAGTACACCCAATTCATGTTTAACCAGAGTCAAGCAATTTCGATCATGTTCATTCTTGTAGACACATTTTTTGGTTCCATGTTCACTTGAAATTGTTGTTAAAAAAGTACATATTTAATTAGGTCTGCTTGTCGATGCAGACATGACTTTCGTATTAGGCCTGCTTGTCGATGCAGACATGGCTTTCGTATGACCGCTATGTCCCTTTCATAACAATTTATTTGCAATAACTTTGAAGTACAACCTGCTACAGAATGCCACCCAGTAAGCTTTCATCATACTCCTCGTCTACACCACTGCTGGCAACCAGCTATCAGTTGTCAATGTTTATCAATTAACACTTGTGTTTTACAAACAACCTTGATTCTGTCCACCAATCAACACCCATGTATACAATCTGTTTGATTTGGTCAGCCAATCAGAACAGGTATGGACAAATCTGATGTTGGATCGTCTTTCTGCTTGTTATGAATCAATCGCTGTGGAGGTGTTGCATAAATAAGACTAAATAAGACCCCCCCCCAGGTGGTTCATAAGACAGATGTCCTTCAAAATCCTTCAAGACTCTTTTAATCTATGTTATGTCGTGTTGTTTATTATTTTTAAAACAAGAAAAAAAATGACATTTGTGAAGAAGATCTCAAATATACTCAATCATGTTGCCATGGATACCCAGCCTCCAATACGTTACCATGGATACTCAGACTCTATCATGTTACCATGGATACCCAGACTACAATATGTTACGATGGATACCCAGCCTCTATCATGTTACCATGGATACACAGACTATATCATGTCATGTTAACATGAATATCCAGACTCTATCATGTAACCATGGATACCCAGACTATATCATGTAACCATAGATACCCAGACTATATCATGTTACCATGGATACCCAGACTCCAATATGTTAATATGGATACCTAAACTCCAATATGTTACCATGGATACCCAGACTACAATATGTTACGATGGATACCCAGCCTCTATCATGTTACCATGGATACACAGACTATATCATGTCATGTTAACATGAATATCCAGACTCTATCATGTAACCATGGATACCCAGACTCTATCATGTAACCATAGATACCCAGACTATATCATGTTACCATGGATACCCAGACTACAATATGTTACCATGGATATGCAGACTCTAACATGTTACTATGGACACACAGACTCTGATATGTTACCAATGATACCCAGACTCTAACATGTTACTATGGACACACAGACTCCAATATGTTACCATGGATATGCAGACTCTAACATGTTACTATAGACACACAGACTCCGATATGTTACCAATGATACCCAGACTCTAGAACATTACCATGGAGACCCAGACTCTAGCATATTACCATGGTTACAAGACTCTTATGCTTATTAATGTTTAAATAAAAATATTTTACATTTGTGAAGAAGGTCCAGACATCCATTCAAGCAGGAAAACTAGACAGAAAACCAAAAGCTAGCTGATCTGATTAGACTTTAAGTTTAGCCTTGAGTTAGCTCTACCAGTATTTGATTGGACCCTAAGTTTGTGATGAGCCAGCTAAACAAATAATTTGATTGAACTACAAATAGAGCTTGACCTAAATATCATACAGGATGAACACTTTGCACATCAAAATTATCTTAAAAGTAAACATTCCGGATTTCTGAAATACTAAACGTCAACATCTCCAAAACAAAAACAATACACTAAATTTTATAAAATAAGAAGTCTGTTCTCAGGATGGTTGAAGTCTCTGTTAACGAGGTGATACAGTTTAAATATAGACTGTGTAAAAACCATACGTTAAATTAGATTTACACTAAAATAAAAGAAGCCTTCTTACAAGAAGAATCTTTTTGTAACCACAGATAAATAAGATAGCGGGAAAGGAAGAGCAAAACAGGAAGATTAAAATGTGTACGCTGACTTGAGGGGTTGTATTTAGAAACTGTCCATAAGGACTCATTATGTCATTGTTTACATGATTTTTTATCAGAAAGCTGAGAGCTGCATTCTTGAATATCTCTTTGTCAACAACAGATGATGTAAAAAGCTGTAATACAGCTGGCTAACATGGTCTCACCACAGTTCATAAACTCAAAACAGGTCAGGAGAGAGGAAGCTACTGTATTGATTAAATGAATTAGGTTTTTCACATTTTCCAAATAACCTTCCTACTTTATCATATGCAGATACATATAAGACTCTCACTGTCAGAAAACTCTGTTGAGATTTTATTTATAAATATAATGTGTTTTAACACATACAAAATGAGAAGATGTCTGTAAGACATGGATGCCTTATTGGCCCTGTAGATGACATATATATAGCAACAGTGACCTTGGCATTGAACTTTGAACCCTGATATACATACTAGTCTGAGGTATTCCTATATGTAACCTTTGTATAAACTACGATGTTAATCGCAAGAGCCATGGCAATGAATCGTGACATTACAGGGCACCTAGGAAAAGGGTGGAGCATAAAGACACGCTTTTAGGTAATTCGTGAGAATAAAAAGATGCTGGGGAAATAAAATCCAATTTGAACCTAAAAGGTTATGACAGACAGTTCATCACAATATCACTTATGTTTGTGAAAACTTGCAACTAACTACTGGGGTGTTTCACTCGTGTATCTGAATAATGCCAAGCAGAATGAGGCCGAGACTTTTTGACATTAGACATACTGTTTAACTCACTCACCCCTGGAATATCATAATGAACTATTCCAACCTTTCGATCGGAAGGTTTCAAATGTGTCTTCAGGGGTAAAAGAGTTAACATCAGTTGTGAGTGCGGGATAGGGAAATCTGTTCATTTTTTTGAAGAGTGAGCTAACTAATTTAAATCTCTGGTTCGAGGAAGATGGCAAATATTATTGTGTCAGAAAATGGGACAATATTTTCAATTAAGAGCTTAGCAAGGCAAAGATTTTTATGCAGGATTTTGGGGTACTATTTCAAATTACAAAGGAGAAGAAAATTGAGAAGCTATTGAATTACTTTTAAAGATATTTTCTAAGCTGTTGCAAACCTTGTTGATGGAATATGGCGTAATTGCGTCTAAAAATTGGGACAATGTTTTTAACCACCAAGTGCAGCGATGCAAGGAGTTTTTATAACTATTCCTTTGGGGTACCAGTAGTCTATGTCAGGGTAGCATGAAGGAAAACGTTTTTCTGAAGATGTACTTAGCTATTTCAAGCTCTTCAAAGCAGTAAAAAGAAAATCATTTTTCCTTTGTAGGAACATCCTTTCCACTGTTTCACTTTCTCAAGTCAATCCTTGTACAGAGTGAGGCAAATTATAAAGTCTGCACATGGTATCAGCACTAACAGAATTCAAATTCAAGCATGTTACCATGAAAACCAATGGAAACCAAGACTCAAGCATGTTACCATGGAAACCCAGACTCAGACATGGTAACATAGATACACAGACTCCAACATGTTACCATGGATACCCAGACTCTAACATGGTAACATAGATACACAGACTCCAACATGTTACCATGGAAACCCAGACTCTAACATGGTAACATAGATACACAGACTCAAACATGTTACCATGGATACCCAGACTCTAACATGGTAACATAGATACACAGACTCCCAACATGTTACCATGGATACCCGGACTCTAACATGGTAACATAGATACACAGACTCCAACATGTTACCATGGATACCCAGACTCTAACATGGTACCATAGATACACGGACTCCAACATGTTACCATCGATACCCAGACACCAATTTGCTACCATGGATATGCAGACTCTAACATGTTACCTTGGATACTTAGATTCCAACATGTTATTATATATTCCCAGACCCGTTCATGTTACATTGAATAC